GGCCGTCCACCAACGATGTCCAGTACCATCGCATGGCACCGCGAGTGAGAGCCTCTCAGCCGGTTGAGGACCAAGCGGCAGTGTGTCAGGGAACCGGACCGATAATTTATTTTTTTTCCCTCTCTCCCCTCTCTCGTATCTGTCTCTGCTCATCCTTCCGTCTCCTTTTCTCTTGCCTCGTCTGTCTGTCCTTACCCCCAGGTACGCTGTGGCTGCCGTGATTGGCTCCCCCGGAGGGGGGAGGGGGGGAGTAGAGTGCAATCTCGGGAGCACCCCCCGGCCTGTGAGGGGCGATGGGGGTATGTGACGAGTGGGGCGGGGCCAAGAGCCGTGGGAACGGAGCGAGGCCGGTGGAGTAATTGCTAATGCGCGACACCTGCACCACTCATTGGTCTCGAGTCCCACGGAGGAGCTCCGGAAGGATAAAAGGAGTGACAACAGTGTTGGACGAGAGAGGACCAGGCCTGGACTTTATTTTGTGTTTTGTGTGCGGCAGTCGTCCGCGAGGGGCTGCCGCTTTACTTTCGTTTTGTGTTTGTTTATTTTATTAAATTGTTTAAATGTCCGCCGGTTCCCGCCTCCTTCTTCCCGACCTACGAACGTCGTTACAACGTCGATATAAAGTGGTTGCATATTGTTAAAACTAGTCGTGATATCTTTGTAGGACTGTCGACTCTATATAAATCAGTGGCAAGAGAAAGCGAATGCCCGGCGAATATCGAACCTAAAACTAACAGCAATAGAAAAGCGATTATAAAGAAAATGCAGCACGTCGTGAACTTTTGACCTTATTTGCTTGCCTGTATATAGTTTGCATCATCAATAAAGTGTATTCTGAGATCTGAGGCCTTTTTTTATATCAATGTATTGGTTAATTGAGGCACGTTACATCGTTGGGGAATCCTAGAGTGTGACGTATGAGGGGAAGCACAGCGTCACACAAGCCATGATACAAAGTTAAGGAAACTAACCAACAGAAAGCAATATATGTCTTCCTCAGATGTAATGCTAGTTCTGTACTTCAGCGTTGGGTAAAACAGCATTATTATCTCCTTTTCAGTAGAGAAAGCTGCTTACATGTAGGCTACACGGAGAAACGAGTAACAGCGATGTTGAATTAAACATACACACAATAAGCTTTTCCGCATATTTATACTGGCCCTGATAATCATAACTTCTACTTAATGATTGCTCCATTTCTGCAGATCAGTTTTTGTGATTGAATGACTTGCTCTACCTGTTGCTTTGGTCTTCATCAACAGCCGCTTGCGCCACCTGCTGGTGAGTGACTGACAGCAGCTGGAGATCATGCATCGGTGCTCTACTGCTATTCCTGCAGCTCCCGGATGTGCAATGGCGAATTTTCTGCCGAATTTTAAAAGCGCATTTGTAAAGTGAAATAAAATGGATCGAAAATTGCCTGTCGAATATTATACATCGTATTTTTAAACAGATTGAATATTTCAGAAGTGAATTCTGGAAGGTGAATATGAATTATTGAATTTTGAATTATGATATAGTGTGTGTGAATTGTTTTGAATTGAGATATTCACAGCTTAAATAAACAATTTAGCCCCTAGAAATGCAAACCCTGAGAATACAAGGCATTAAAATGCAAACACTGTTAATACAATGCAT